ATCCTCCTGCTTCAGCCTCCCAGAGTGCTGGGATTATAAGGATGGACAGTGTCCCCCCCCCAGAAAAATGTCACCTATGATGGTTCATACAGGAGTCAAACCTGTAACTGGGGTTATTAGCATCATGCTTTAACTAAGTTAACGAACCAGGCGTATCTTTCTTTTTGATTACAAGGACATCTGGGCTATAGCTAAGATATTTGAGGAAAATGTTCCTCTTTTTATTAATTTTTAGATTACCTACGATTGGAATTTTTGGTTACCTTTTTTTCTTTTCAAGGTAGAGTGTTTTAAAATTCTCCAGTAGAAAACACTTTCATTTTGGGAATTTTTATTGGTTACTTTTATTGTTACAGTGACTTAAAAACCTCTACCTTTTGAAATTTATTAAAATTTTTATTTGGGACAAGTATTCTGAGACGTGATAACTGCATGTGGCTCCCTTTCCTGTTTCCAGCTGTTCTGTCTTGTGCTCAAGCCAGAGTGCACAGGGCTTGCTGAACTGTGGTGCAGCGTGGCTGTGGCAGTGCAGCAGCCCCTGCAAGTTGATCTAGCTGAGACTTTGTCTTCAGTGTGCTTGAGGCCAGCAAGGAGGAGGCTGGGGTAAGGCCAAGAGGTGGCACATGTTAGAAAACACTTGGCTTCAGGGCTCTATGAGAGTCTGCAGTGGTTGGCCTAGACCCCAGAACAGGCTCTGAATGCTTGTGGACTCAAAAGAGCTTCCTGGACTGAGCCCTCCTGTCATGGTGTCTGCAGACTAGGAGAGATGGAGCAAAGGCTTGGGAGCAGGGGGTAGGGGTGCCTGCACCCTCAGGCCTCACTTCTCCTGCTTTTCTCTCTACTGCCTACTGTTTGTCCTGACTTGGGGGCTTCTTACTACCACACCTGAACCCCACTAACAAAAGTAGAAAAGCAAAACCCTGCTGGGGTGAGGGGTGAAGGTACCTGGACGGAAGGAGGCAAGATAGGTTGCAGTACCTGCCTAAGTTGAGAACCATGAAAAATTGAGACAGCAGCTTCCATGAAATCCAGCAAGGAGAAAAGCTAGCGAGGTTCAGACATGGCTCATAGGAGGTTTCCTGACTAAGTAATTGGCAGAGTGTTTGAAAATTAAAGAAAAAGGGTGGGCTGGGATGTATTTCACTGAATGGTAGAGTGCTTGCTTGGCATATCTGTGGCCTGGGTTCCATCCCAGCAGTGCCAAAAAGGGAAAAATAAAAGTCACTCTTTAGAGCAAATTAGGTCCTGACATGAAAATATAATATAAATCAGCCATAGTACATAGGAAAATGCAAAAATATAGTTCCAAGGGAAGAAGTAAGAGATATGGAAGATAAAATCATGGGAGTTAATATGCATGCAATAGCCATTTCAGAAAAAAGAGTGGATAAGCAATTATTAAGTAAATATTAGAAATGAATAACCTTACAGGAAGAAAATCTAAGCCCCCAGTGTAAGACTTCTAGTATGTTTTTTTAATGACTAAAAGGTGCACATCTTCGATGTCTTTGTAAAATTCCTGGTCTTTAAACAGGAGAAAACTCTTCCTCTGCCCACTAAAAGGGAAGGAAGGAAGGAATATATGTGCTTGCTGGTGAACTTACCATTTGTAACTCCAAGCTAGAAGGCACTGGATTACCAGCTGCTGGTTCTTGAGCGGAAAGGACTTGATACCCTTTGAAGGAGTGCTGTGAGGGCTAAAGAGAGCTGGTACAATGCCAGAGTACAAAAAGTAAATCATCCATGTTCTTATCTAGAGATTTCAAAGTTAGAAACAAGGAAGAACAACAGAGAGAAAGCATGTGGAGTAATCTTGTCTGGGCTCATTCAGAATTTATCCCTAATGAAATAATATTTAAGAACATACACTTGAAGTGGTAAATTTCTTGAACTACTCTGAATGACATTCCATTAATATTCTATGAATAATATGCTTTTTCATAAAAAGCCAGATACTTAGAGACAGATGGAAAAGACAGATGGAAAAAATAAACATTTTTCAAAGTCTATTGATAGGGACCGAAGAGAGGAAAAATGTCGAAGTGTTATTAAGGTCTTTTGTTACAGAGGAAAAAAGTAGGAAAAAGAATTATTTTACTGTGGTGGGGAGAGGTTATCTCTTGCTGAGAGTATACTTAGAAACATGTTTTAAATAATAATTGAAGCAGCCTGGCATGGTGGCAGATGCCTGTAATCCTAGCTCTCGGGAGGCTGAGGTAGGAGGATTGCCATGAGTTCAAAGCCAGCCTGGGCTACATAAGCAAGTTCAAGGCTAGCCTGCATTACATAGCAAGACCTTGTCTCAAAAAACAAAAAACAAAGAAAACCCAAAAACTAATTATAATTGAATCTATTTAAAATATTTTCAAGCAGTGTATCCAAGTAAAGAAAGGGGAGATAAACATTAATGAAAAGAGAAAGAGATGGAAAACATTAACAGAATGGAAAAGTATATTACAGTGTGAAATCAACAAAGACAAGAAGTAGAAAGACTAGCAAAAATATCCAGATCAGTAAAAATAAGGAATTTGAAAAAAAATGAGATAACTAATTTTAAAAAAAGAAGGAAAAAAAAATTAAATATATTGCACTAAGTGTAAATGAATTGAATTCTTCCATTAAAAGTTAAACTCTAAACAGTACATGTTGACTCACATGTGTAACCCTAGCAATTTGGGAGGCTGAGGCAGGAGGATCATCTCAAGCTCCAGGCCAACCTGTACTATGTAGTGGTACCCTGATTCAATCAAAAAACTTATATATATGTATGCGTGTGTGTGTGTGTGTGTGTGTGTGTGTGTGTATGTATATGTAAAGTAAAAGAAATCTAGCAATGTGAAAAGGAAATTTAGAACTTTACATTTATAGTCAAATGTTAAAAAGGAACTTGACAATATAAAAGTTACAAAGGTTACAATTCTTTATGGCCAAAATGCCCTAAAATCATTAGGGATATGAAAGACTAGGAAAACTTTATTTTATTCAGATAATAGGACAGTTTAAAGAGCCCTTTTAATTATCAGGAAAAAACCACCCAACTGAAAGTGGACAAAGGAGAAAAATTAGACAGTAAACAAAAAGGCTATTCCAGGCAAAAGTGAGAACATGGTTTAGTTACTGGTAGTTAGGGAAATTAAATTTCAACCACAATTATACATTATACTTATCAGACTTTTCCTGTGTAAAGAGAAGACTGTCTTCACTGTTGGAAATCTAAAGAGTAACGTAGTGGAAAGTAGAGATCTAGCAAAATTTAAAATGTTTGTGTACTTTATTTATATATTTTTTTTAATTTTTGCCTTTTTGAGGGAGGGTTTCACTATGCAGATCAAGCTAGCCTTCAACTCATTTTGTAGCCCATGCTGCCCTAGTACTCGCAGTGATCCTCCTGCCTCAGCCTCCCAACTGCTGGGATTACAGGCGTGAGCCACAATGCCCAGCCCAAATGTTTGTATACTTTAATGTAGTAGTTCTTCTCTTGGTTTCTGTGCCATAAGACCAAAGCCATGCCTACAGAAGAACATGAAAGAGATGCTTATTGCAGCATCTGCTCCAGTGGCAAAAAATTGGAACAAGGTGTGTGCCTATCAGCAGGGAATTGGTAATTGGCTGGAAAGCTCTACTACATACATATTGTGAAATTGTATGTGGTCCTCACAGAGAAATCAAGCCTAGACTGTACCAGTAGACTGGGAGTGATCTCTGACATAAGGTGAAAAATGTGAGATGAAGAGAATTGGACAAGTGTAAGAAGTGTTTTCTAAACAGGAAAATGATGCATAAAGCATATCCACAAATCAGTGTATTTGTTCTGTGCCTATATGAGCATGAGTGTATCCTGGGTAGTGAATGTGAACCACATCTAATAACATGAAAGGGAAAAGGATGAGGACGAGCAAAAATCAATACACGTAAGATTCTAACTGCAGATATTTATAACAACTTTATAAAATTTTAGATGATAAAATTGAAGAAAATTTGTTGATGAGCCAAAAAATGAAAATTGATCTTCGTGTCTATAGGTGTGAAAGCACTTGTAGTTTTTTTTTTTTTTAATCTAACATAGCTTACCATAATGTGTCAGATTCTCAAAGAAATGTCTCACAATGATTAGGCTTTTGTAAGTTTCCTTTTGTATTATAAATTTTGTTTTTATCTTTGATGGATAATAGTTTATGGCTATTAATCTTTTTATTAGTAGATGAATTTCTACTGTTTTCTTTAGTGCCTTTGTTCATAAACTCTACTGTCTAACACTCATGTTATTGGTGCTATTTCTTTGGTTGAATTTATCCTCATTAACCATTTTTTCTCTTAGACGTAGCATCAGGTAATATATATTTTAAGTACTGTATGGCAGTGTTCTTTTCCCACATCTGAGAGCACCATCTCCACTCTTCATAAGGGATATCTTTCAGTCTTTTCATATTTATTCTAATTAATAATTTGATTTTATTATCAGCATAATTGGTGGTATGCATAGATGCTTTTAATTCTGCGTGACTACCGCATTTATTGGGGGCACAAGAATGTTCCTTTTAAAGATTATTTTGAGAAAATTCCAATTCCACACTTCATGTGCAAGATGTAATATGTACAATGGTTGTGCTGATATAAGCCTATTGAGAATTTCTTTTTTTCTTTCTTTATCATCGTGAAGACAAATTGAGTGGTGGCGGTGCAAATAAAAGACAAAAAATTGATCAGGACTTTCTCAGCACTATTGACCAAACAGGAGAACTTTTAGCAATGCTTGAAGATGACGAGGTTGATGAAGTTAAACAAGAAAGAATGGAGGTATGGTACATTCTTCCCTTTCACAGTAACAGACCATCAGAGAATTGCCTTTGCTATTTAGTTCTATTTTTGTGAACTTCAAATGTCTACAATTCCCAAACCCATGGTTTTATGTCAGTGGCAGCAGTGTACAGAGGTACTTCGCCTTCACAGTCAACTTTGGGGATCAACTTTACTTTCTTTTCCTTTATTTTCTCCTTTGAAAATGAGTATGTTTCCCTACTCTGGGTCTGAAATATGTTTGTGTTATTTTATTTTATTTATTTATTTTTATTCCATTAAAGATAATTAGTAATTAAATGTTTATTTTTTGTTCCAAATTATCCAGTTATCTTGGCAAAGGTAATTTTTACTGCTTTTGTCTTGGCACACAGAAAGCAGAGCTATTATTCAGATGATTATTTGTAGGCTCTGATTGGGCTCTCTAGCTAAGGTAGTTTGCCAGGGCAGCTACATGTTTCAGTATCACTGAAACACATCAGTGACTCTTGGATAGGTTTAGCAGTGGATGTGAAAATTGTATGTACCCTATTTACCTTAGCTATCTCTACCAAAAATTATTGTTTCTTCAAGTATACTTTAAGCAAAAAAAAGTAATGACTTGTTTCACTTGAGTGCCTTCCAAAAAACAAAACAGTATTCTTATAATTCTTATTACTATTATTATACTTTTACATGTGAGAAGTCTCAATTTCCTCCTTTCCTTAAATTGAGCAAGGAAAGTAATTCCAGAATTCCCAAAGACATGCTAAGTGCCTACTTTATCATAGTCTTTATGCATGCCAAAATATAATTGTTTCATGTTAAATTTTGGAGGAAGTCCAATAGACATACATGCTTTATAAACTTGAACAACCTTCTTTAAAGAATTAGTATGCCTAGATCAGAAATTGTGATCTAAAGGTGCTGTTCTTTTAGGTATCAATTACCTTAGAAAAGTGTGGTTATCTTGGTTTGGGGCAACTGCAAATGGTTTTTGTTGAACTTTGCCTTAGGCCAAAAACATGGTAAGTTGTCCAAAGCAGATGATAACCGTATATTTCTGATGTCATTATGGCCTAAACAGGATATGATTGTTTAGTGACATGGTATCACTTACAATATATTACATAGAAAGCAAATATTGTTTATGCTTTATTTTAAATTTTTTTTTCTATTATGAAAATTAGCACTATAAAACAGGTCATTAAAACAGGATTCGACCTAAAGCATAAATGAAACTGAACAAGTAGCTTTTTAGTTTTGATGGGAAAATCTCAGCTAACCAATCTTACTGCCCAGAAGGGCATTCTGCAGTTACGGAGCAGGGGAAAAATGGAGGATTTGTAACACTAAGCTTGAAATACTAGGCTACTGTCTCCATAGAAGAAATAATGAGTCAGGGAGGCCCTAGTTAAAGTCAGTAAAATAGATAGAAATATAGAATAGAAAATGCTTGAGCACTGACATAGTCTGTATCCCACCTCCATAAGGTTGGGTGTTACCTAATAGTAAGGAGAACAGAGTATCAATAGTTGATAAAAATGGTTACATTGGAAATCTGCTTCATTTATACAGTAACCATGAGATTGGCAGCTTCTTTAAACCTTCTATGGAAACAAAATCTTGTCTCACTGAGTTAATAAAGAGTCATTTTGATACTTAACTCATCCAGATAACAGAGTTAACTGAATAAAAATGATGGACATACTGTAGACAGTAGAAGTGGAACCATTAAGAGCAGAGGCCTTGCCTGCTTCTAATTTGACAGGTTACAGTTTCAAGAGTAGACCACAACTGTGGCAGTCCATATGAAACCACTTTTGACTTGCAGACTGCAATCTCATGCATTTAAAGTGCAGCAGAATAATCAGTCCTGGCATCATTCGGTGATATAATTCTATTCCAGGTATCACTTAGGGTTGTAGAAACAATGTTTAAACAAGTCGGGATGCACAAAATCTTTAGTAACTTTGTCATCTGCTTCTAAGTCAGAGGCTTAATACTGGAATCTAGAAAGAAAACAGGATGACATACATGGAAAACAGAATGGTATACATAAAATTTAAAGCATCTCATAATTTTTAAAATAAGCTTAAACTGAATAAGATCCCAGGTGGCCATCTGAATTTGCTTAACCTGATGTGAACTGGCCATAGATTTTAAAACATGGAGTTTCTTATAAAGACGAAATAATAAGAAAAGTCAGGCATGTCACATACTGTGCCCAGTTGTTACAAAGTTGTGACAGCTGAGGGTTCTCAGTCCCACAGTGACAGTTGTTCCATGTGTGTGGACTGAAAATCTCATAAAGAAGTCAGAGAGGCAGGCGGCTATATACGTTTTCTATCTTTTCCTTTTTGTTAGACTTTCATTTATATCTCATGATCTTTTTCAAGGAAAGGAAAAGAAAATGCTTTATGATTCTAAAAATACCTTAAGTAAGATGTAACATAAAAGAAAAGAATATTGCCAGTAAAATAAACTTTTACAAATACCAGAAAAATTAAAAGATTGATTTAAAACCTGAAACTCAGAAAAAGGTCAATAATTTCAATATATGTGAGATTAAAAAATGATGATACGGTCTGGAGTGATAGCTCAATGGTAGAACATTAGCCTTGCATATGGAAGATCCTGGGTTTAATCCTCAGAACCATAACAAGAAGAAAAGAAAGGGAAAGAAAAAAGTAAATGAGGGTAGAAGTATATACTAGAAACATATACCTATATATAGTTTATATGTATATTATGTATAAATATGTATGTATGTATACTTATATATGCATGTACAGTTACATACATACACTGTTACAAACATACTAAGCAGAAATAGAAATATAATTTTATTAGATTTTTTAAAAGGTGAAAGTAAAAGAACCATCAATTATATGTCAGTTCAACTCATACACTAGTGATATTAGTTTCAAAGAAAAAAGAATTTAAAGAATAAAGCTTTTAAATAGTATAAGAATAGTAATTTTATGTTATTAAAACATATTGCCTATAATGAAAACATAATAAATAAAAATGGTTAACTATCAAATTTCCAGACATTCAAACATAACAAAACTTTGGAAGTGCAGGCAGAGGTCACACAAAAGCATTTGTGGTAGAGACTGGAACAAACTACTGTCAACTTTTGGTAAATTGACTGTCGCAAGTTTCTTTTAAAGGCTGGGGTTATACCTTAGGGGTAGAACATTTGCCTAACATACAGGGAGCCCCAGGTTCAGTTCCTAGTACCAATACGTATACATATAATAGAAAATCATATTCAACAGGACATCAAAAAGATCACTAACTTTAATCAAGCTGATTTCTTCCCAAGGATTCAAGGATGGTTGAACATACACAAATCATTAAACATAATACATCACATAAACAGGATGAAGAATAAAAAATCTTATGATCACCTCAATACATGTAGAAAAATCATTTGATACAATTCAACATGCCTTCACTATAAAAGATTTGAATAGATTGAATACAGAAGAATTGTACCTCAGCATAATATAGGTTACATATGACAAATGATAGCCCGCATCACCCTGAGTGGAGAAAAGCTGAAAGCATTTCCTCTAAGATTAGGAACATGACAAGGATGTCCTCTATTACTTCTCTTTGTTAACATAATCCTAGACGTTTTAGCCTGAGCTATTAAGCAAGAGAAAGAAATTAAAAGATACACAACTAAGAAACGAGGAAGTTAAATTATCCCTATTTGTAGAAGGTACAATTCCATATCTAGAAAAACCTAAAGAATTCACCAAAAGACTATTACAATGAATGAATAAATGTAGTAGTTTCAAAATACAAAAACTTGTAAAAACTTTTAGTGTTTTTATACATCAGTAGCAAATTTGCTGAGAAAGAAATCATAAAAGCACTCCCATTCATAGTAGCACACACAAAATAAAATACCTAGGACTGAACTTAACTAAGGAAGTGATTGACCTTTATAATGAAAATTACAAAACACTAAAGAAAGAAATTTAAGGACAGCAACAACAGAACAGAAAAGATGTCCTATGCTCATGGATTGGAATAATTATATTGGCATGTGTGTAATACCCACAGTGATTTACAGATTCAGTGCGTCTGTATAAAGATCTAATAGCATGCTTTACACATGTAGAAAAAAAAGTCCTAAAATTCATACGAGTGTATAAAAGGCTCTGAATTGCCAAAGTGATCTTGGCACATTTGTTCTGTTAAAGGTAACTTCTGTTCACATAACTTTAAGATAGTTTATGAAATTGTTCTTCAGGGAATGTTAGTACTTCTAAGAAATATTTGGTAATTTTACCTACATAGAGCAGAATTAATGTGTACTGGATGTGTAATTTGATGTGTTTTTCTGACCTAGGAACTGCAAAAAAGGTTGTATTAGTCATCTTTAGCAGAACATAAAACTTGAGGTATAATATGTAGTTTAAAACTGATTTCCTTTGCTTTCTTCTCCTGTCCTGTCCCCACTTCATTTTTTCCTTTCATTCATAGCACTGGGGATATTGAACCCAGGATCTTCGCATTGAGCTATATTTCTCACTCTTTTTATAAATTATTTTTTAATTTGAAGACAGAGTCTCAGTATTCACTAAGTTGCCCAGGCTGGGGTTGAACTTGCACATCAACCTTCCAGAGTAGTAGGATTACCACTACTACATACACCACCGTGCTACCTCTGATTTCCATTTGTGACTATACAGACTGTATAATTACATTTGGTCAGTTGCTAGCCTCCTAATATGTAATGGTAAAGAACTGTGTATTTGTTGGTACAAATGCTTGCTATAAATGCTTGGGAAACGTCTCCTGGAAAAAGCATTTTCACCTAATGACATGAAGAATATATTTGGGATTGTATGGAATAGAACATTCCCTAAATCTTACCTAGATCCCTGTCATTTTGTAGGTCACAAGCTCAGATCTGATGGGCAGTTCGCAAGGGATCCTTTCAGGCTTTTCTTTACTGTGTGAATGACAGACTGAACCCTAAGGTCAGGTCAGTTCTGCTT